GTTACATTAAACTCTTCTGTATTATCAGTTTAAGTAATCTGGTCCAGCCTCGGTAGTACAAGTAGTAACTTGCCACATGGCCTACCTTGGGTTTGGATCCCCACTCAGTCTGAAATAGTCCAGGAAGTTGAGTCCAAGATCCTGGTGAGCTGGGGGCCTGAGGGAGGGGAATCTATGGCATGATTTTCAACCTGTTGAGCACCCTTCCCTCCCTCTCCCTCTCTTTCTTTTTCATCCTTACCCACGGACATACACTCTCTCACAAAATAAATAAAATAAACTTTAAACAAGTTTTAGTACTCTGGTTTCCTACAAGAATTCTAAAGTCTTTGAGCAACCATTTTACATTTTGCCTAGTTGTACTTTTGTCCCTTGACAGACTGAACTTTATTTCTTTTAATCTTTGCTGAGAGCTGAAAGTTTTCTCCAAATCCAGCTACAATGTTACCATGCATTTGACTTAAAGTTTCCCAAGTCCTTCTCTGTGGTCTGCCATGAGTCTAACACTAACTCTCTAAAATGGAAATTGTGGCCGAAGCAAAACCAAAGCCCAACATTACTAGCCCCTTCCCTGACTTCCACTCATCCCACTTACCCCCACACCCCATCTTCTGATTTGCAATTGGTTTCTTCACGTGGGGTTTCCTCCTCCTCTCTCCAGCATTTACCACCACAATCCTAACCTTACTGAAATAAGCCTGCTTGACTCATGACAAGCCCCAGTACTGTTTCAGGAAGCCCACTCCAGGCTGTGCTCAGTGTCTGACATTTGGTGGTTTAGTGTATGTTACAGTTAGCTGCAGAAAGCCCCAATTCCTCATCCCACGGACTGCCCAGTGCTGAAGGCTTCAGCACTTGAAGTGACTGTGACATTGAATTGGTAAAGGTCACCAACAGAGACAAAATGAATCATCCCTCTTGCCTTTAAGACACACTTTCCAGCTCATTATGATAAGATGCCTGTTACATTTTTTTGTCCCCCTCCATAGAGATTAAGCCTCGTGTGCGTTAGCAACACTAATGAACCGCTTGCTCTTGTATCTTTTTTCTAGATGGTTTGTCACCAGGGCTGTTCTGTCCTGTAAAGCCCCAGTGACAGTGAGCTGTTGACAGAGTATTAGAAAGAGCTCAGATCTTTAAAGCCAGGGATGTGACAGAGAATTTTTTCAGTTCCCCAATCTCCGCAGTCTCTGTGTTCTAACACGATTCCATTAAATCATAAAGATTAGAGCTTGTCAACCCCTTAGCATCTTTCCTCTGATTTGCAAAAACGAGTGGGGGATTTGTTATTAATTCTTGTTGTTGCAGCTACAGAGCAGGCACCATTACTATAGCTAAGCCATTAACCTGATTGGTATTAATCAGAAGCGTCCCATGAGTCACATTGGTTCGAGAGGCCTGGATGTTTTTCAGTAATGGGGCTTTGTGGAATCAAATGAGAATTGATTGATGATCCCAAAGTGCATGTATCCACGAAAGAACTGGCCACATTCTGGGTGCCCCACTTTAATGGAAGAACTGTCCTTTCTGCATACAAAGAAGGCAAGTTAGTTTACCTGACCCATCAGGCAGACAGGCTGTGCTTTGAATTACTTCTCCAGCAGAAGAACTGGTCTACACAGATTTACACATGGTTTACCTGAGACCAATGTTTTGGATTTTTTGAGGCAGAAAAATAGAGTACTGAGAAAAAAAAAAAAATCAGAGGAAGAAAAAAAGGAGAGATAAATTGGACCATAGATAGTTGAAAAGTGGTAACTTTCGCATCTTGTGTACCCCAAAGGGTATTATTTGGACACTTCAGCCTAGAAGTGCTAGAGACACCCTTACAGAAGTCTCCAGTGGGTCCCTAGAACTCACAGCCCACATGTTTGAGACAGACGTTGAAGAACATAGTCTTCAGCCAAGGCACAGAAACAAAATCAAGTAGTGCACTAGAGGATTAAGCCCATGACCTTTGGTGTCATCGGCATCATGCTCTAATTAACTGAGCTAACCAGACACAGCTGCTCTGGACAGCTGAACTAGCTCTATCTAAAAAAAATACCAACACAAAAGAGCGTTCTTCACAGTTTCAAAATTCTATTATTTCCCAGGCAACCTTCTTAAACACTTCCCAGAATGGTTGCCCTCAAAAACTACAGTCATATTTATACTCTACCAAAAGAACGCAGATTTTTGTTTGGGCAACGATGTAGATTATTATCTAACATTGACATTGACTAGCAGAGTGCAGAAAGTTATTTTGGCGAAGAACTCTTTTTCTATTGGAAAAATGCAATTATATTAGCAGAGGGGTTTCTAGTAACTTAATCCCAATTAATTTGTCATTCTCTACACTGCCCAAACACATGTGGTAAAGATCCAGAGGGAACCAAGGCAAAATGCAGTAATAGGGCCTCCTCTGGCTCTGCTTTCTGTGAACTCCAAAAGACAGAGCTTGGGGTTTTCTATTTTATTTATTTATTTATTTATTTATTTATTTGGTTGGTTATATCCTGTTTCAAAAAGGGATTGAGAAAACTATGGAAATAAGTTGTACAACATATAGAAAGATATATACTATTACTACTACAATGTATAAAAACCCAAATAACTGAGGAAATTCCATGGAGTAATAACGAGTATAGGAAAAGGAATAAAAAATGGAAAGTAGACATCGTGTGCATAAAACAAACTAGAACTTTACACGGTGGTTAAAGGTCTTTTCAAAATTTGGTTGTTCAACTGAATGAAGAATCATAATATTCATAGAATACCAACACTCATTGCCCAGGAGCTGCACAGTGGTTCCTGATATGAAGACCTGAAATAAAAGTACACCAAAGTGTCTACCAAAGAGAGCGAGCACCTTCTAACAGAGTAGATGATGTACTGATCCATGCTATCCCTTGGGCTGCAGGGGATGGAGGGAGCAGAATGTGATAGGGTGTCATAACTAATGCCTTATGGCTGTTGTTTTTAGAGTTGGTGAGACTGGTCTCGTGACACCTATTGTTCATTCTATTTACTGATGCGGTGTTCAACTTGGTTATTAGATTGAGCTTCTAATGCCCAAGTCTTGACTTTTTAACTAGAGTGCATTTTTTCCTTAGAGCAAAAGTTTAGCTGTATTTCTTGGTATCACTTCAAATTCATAGCACAGACCATTGTGAACTGCAGACTCCTGGCCAGCAGATAGCTTACTGGTTACGTGGTTGGACTCCCACATGGCTGTCTATAGTTTGAGTCCCAGACCTGGTGGCTTGAAAATAATGCCAGATGTGTGTGTGTGTGTGTGTGCACGCGTGTGTGTGTGTTTGTGTGCCCAAGATCCCAAGAGGAGAATGGAGAAGAAGAGATTGCTATATGGCCATTCCCCTGGGGAGTGATTTCTCACTTTTCTTCTCAGGCTCTGTGTTTTGCTCTCTGGAGAGCACATACACCCTATAGAAAAAAAAACTCTAAAAAAATAGTTAATCAAGCTCTTAACTGATGAGCAAAGCTATGAGGCATCTTCATTTGGGGAGTCTGATACCTCTCTGTATTTTAATCAATATCTTCTAATTGGATGCCACCTTCTGTTAACTACACAGTTACAGTGGGTGGAGGCTGCCAATATTGAGATCCCAGTCCTTGACCAAATCCAAAAATGATATAGAGGATGGTTATAATCTAAGTTGCACAAATCAGATCTATTATTTTTGGGGATTTTTGAATTGAGACTAAGATATCCTAGTTATTCTGATTTAACTCATCAATGGTGAGGGTTTTTTTTTATTTCCACTTGTAAGTATACTTTTTTAAAAAATTATTTTTATTAAGCAAAACTTACAAAACTTTTTTCTTTTGTCTGATTAATGTTTCTTCCCTTTACTCCTCCCATACACCTTCTACATCCACTCTCAACCACCTACTCCCCTTCCTTATCAGTAAGCTCTGGAATCTACAAATGGTGGATTTTGATATCATATACTCTCTTTTTTTCTTTTTTTTTTACCTTAAATTTATTTATTTACATTCATTCACTATACATCATCACAGCCAACAAAATGAGATTTCCCACCCAGTATACATTGTATATGGGCTCAATCAAGCACATCAACATACGTGTTATCGTCAACAAACAATTTTCCATTTCCTATTTCCTGTATATTTTGTTATTTTTGCCATTCTTGATTCCCTATACTCTTGATATTATTGAGAACACTGTTATGCTCTGAAGATATAGTGACTAGTCAATGCTTTGCAAACTGGAGAAGAAAGACTCAAAACTGCATGAGAAAGGAAGAATTGAGAGGCAGAGTGAGACTTCACAGTTTCTACTCACACTTCATTCACTGAATAAAGTTGTTTGGTTCTGAAATACATCTGTGTCTCCACATGATAAATGTCATATTTTTTATTGAAGCTCATTCAATGGGTTCTGCTATTCTCAACTAGAAGTAGTAATGAATACAATGGACCATGGTAACTTAATTTGCCAATAATATTAATTCACGCATTCAATTAACATTTATTGAGCACATCGCATGTGCCAGGCACTAGTCTGGGAGCTCAAGATGTATCATGGAACAAAACAGACAGAGATTCCTGACCTGCCCTGTATCATGTTACTTCTCTCTAGCTCTTTCTGAAGGTGTTGGTGACATTTATCAAGAAGACAGTATTCAGGTGTATTAGCATAGTTGTTTTCAAACACTTCAAGCTTAACAGATGATAAGGGAACTGGGCCTAAAATAACTAGAAGGGAGAAGCTACCAAAACCACTTGACACAATTTGATAGAAAGAAAAACATTCAGGAGCTGGGTGGCGAGGCAGTAGTGACACAACTGGATCCCCAAGGAAAAGGTTCTGGGTTTGCATCCTGGGACCTCCGTGAGTATGCCAGGTACATGCCAATCATCCAGCCCGGCTGAGACTGAGGGCGGATTGTGGTGTGAAGATTTTCTTGGGGAGTGGGGGGGACATCTCTCTCTTTTTCTCTAAGACAATAAACACATTTTCAGAAAAAAGAAAAGTAGAGAAGGAAAGAATGAAGGAAGGAAAAAAGGACATTCGAAGTTGTCTAAAGTAGTGTGTCTCGAACTTCAGAATGTATTCCAATCACCTGAAGAGCTTATTGAAATGCAGCAGCCCCTCCTCTCAGAGATTTCCATTCAGTAGATCTGGGTAGACCTTGAGGACACACATTTCCAACAATGTCCCGGGTGATGTAGACGCTGTTGATCCACGGATCACTCTTCAAGTATCAATTGTCAGTGGTCTGCGTGAGTCTGGCGAATTCAAACAAATGTTTAAAGCATTAACACTAAGCTTTCACAAATGCTTCCCAAAAATAGAAGAGGAACAAACACCCAAATGTTCACTGGTTGATGAATAGATAAACAAAAGGTTGTCTGTCAATGCCATGGAAGATTATTCAGCCTTAAGAAGGAGTAAAATAGTGACATATGCTACAATGTGGATGAACCTTGAAACCATTATGCTAAGCTGAAAAATCTAGTCACAGAAGGCCACATATTATACCATTCCATTTATATGAAATTTCTTGAATAGTCAAAGCCATACAGGCAGAATACAGGTTAATGTTTGTCAGGGACCACAGGGAGAGAAAAATCATGACTATTACCAGGTTTCTTTTGGAATGATAAACATGTCTCCAAATTGGATAGTGGTGATGACTGTGTAGGAGAGAAAATATTTCTCTTTCTCACTCATTGCTAGATACACAGTGGAGACCGCTGTAACAGAAGACAGATGAACAAAAGAAAAGCATACAAATTCATTTAATAAGTCTTACATGACATCGGAGCCTTCAGAAACGAAGACGGGAAGAAATGGAAAGACTGTATTTTTATGCTAATGCATGATGAACAGCAGACAGTACTGTAGAAATAAAATGAGAAGACAAAAGGTTATGATCTAATTGCAATAAACTGGAGAAAACATAGCAAGGCTTGTTTTGTTTTGTGTTTTGTTTTGTTTTTCCTAGATTCTTTTTGACATCCTTCTATGATATCCTTTCCCTCCAGATTTAGAACAAGATACCTGTCACAGGAGGGTCAGAAGGGAGGAGAGAAGAAAGGGAAAAGGTCAGAGGGTGATCTTCCCAGATTTTACAGCCTGCTTCCGAGAAGAAGGGAAAGGGAAACTCTAACATATGTGCCCCATTTCAAGTGACAGGGTGGCAAGAGATGCTCAGAGAGACTTTGCTGCTTTTACAGTTTGCTCAGTTTCCTCCAGCTTCACATTCTCAATATGCCAAGATGCCATAGCTTGGTGCAGCGTGTCTTGAACCCCAGCAGTTGCATACATCTGTGATTATACTGGAAAACACTAAATCATACACGTTAAAATAACAGGTGAATTATCTCTGCATCAAGCCATCATTAGTTTTCTTTTTCAAAAAGAAAACATGAGTCATCCTGGAATTGATGTTGGATTTGCTGCTGCTGCTTCTTTTTCTTTTTTTTTAAATCCCCCTTTTGAATTGGTTATAGAGCATGTGCACTTCCTAGAGAGAGATGTACTGCCTCATGAACTCTTTGGATAACTGGAACTAGTCTTATCTTCTTAATGTTATTTTTAGGAAATCTGTGACTCTCTTAATTCATACAAGATAAAGATACAAATAATGCTCTTGATGAGGATCCTGGTGAATTGAACTCCGGCTCCGTTTCAGTAGTCATGTATTCACTGATACCTGGAAAGGTATCCCAGAAACATGGCACACTTAGACTCTCGAGGACTAAAAAGCAAATCCTGTACCACGGAGAAGTGCTTCTGTGAAGGAAATAGGACAGCCCACTGGTCCACGATGGACTCTGGAACCTGACTCCCTGTGTACAAAACCAGCCCCCACCACTTACTTGCTGTGATCTCATTCAATTTACTTTACCTCTTACCTGTCCAGTCCTCGCCTCTGCAAAATGAGAAAGATAAGTAATGTTCTACCTACGTAAGTATAGTTTCAGTTTATCCAAAGATTAAATGACTTGGTATTTGTAAAGTACTTGAAACAGATGTTTGGTATTTAGTAAGCATGATATAAGGGTTTGGTAAGTAAATTCCTTGAGTTCAATTTGGATACTTTTCCCGTAAAGGTGTCTATCTGGAAAATAGGTACTTATAAAAATGGTGTGACCCTCCTAAGTGGTTCTCTTTTCTTGGATCATTTATGTTTTGTAAACTACATAGAAAACTTTTAATTAGGCTAGTCTCTGCTTAACACTTAAGAGGAAACTGGAACTTAAAAATATGATTTTGGTACAGAAAAATATAATCATTGGTACATTGATTTCAGTGTAAAATACATTGTATACTTTGTTCTACTTCTAAAAGAACTGCCAACAGTTATGAAGGATTTGTCTTGTCTCTCTTTTTTTTTTTTTTTTTGAAGAGGTTTTTTTCACTATAGGGCGCATGCTCTTGCCAGACAGACAAAGAGAGACAGAGAGACAGAAAGCGAGAAATCACCCCCCGGGGGGATGGTCACGCTGCAACCCCTTCTCCTCCATTCTCCTCTCGGTATCTTGGGCACGCACACACATGCGCCCGGCGTGAGTTTTAAGCCACCGGGTCCAGGACACGAACCACAGTCGACTACATGGGAGTCCAGCGACATAGCCATTACGCTAACTGCTGGTTCCCTTGTCTTGTCTCTTGATATGACCTTAAAAATGTCTTACCATAAAAAGATGTTTGAAGATCTATGTGTACTAAACTCTAACTCATTTAATTCTCAATTAGGCATTGTAATCTCCATTTTACAAATGAGGAAACCAAACGATTTTTTTTTTTTTTTTTTTTTTTTTTTTTTTTTTTTTTTTTGAAGAGGTTTTTTTCACTATAGGGCGCATGCTCTTGCCAGACAGACAAAGAGAGACAGAGAGACAGAAAGCGAGAAATCACCCCCCGGGGGGATGGTCACGCTGCAACCCCTTCTCCTCCATTCTCCTCTCGGTATCTTGGGCACGCACACACATGCGCCCGGCGTGAGTTTTAAGCCACCGGGTCCAGGACACGAACCACAGTCGACTACATGGGAGTCCAGCGACATAGCCATTACGCTAACTGCTGGTTCCCTTGTCTTGTCTCTTGATATGACCTTAAAAATGTCTTACCATAAAAAGATGTTTGAAGATCTATGTGTACTAAACTCTAACTCATTTAATTCTCAATTAGGCATTGTAATCTCCATTTTACAAATGAGGAAACCTAGTCTCAGAGGATTTAAGTGACTTCCTTGAGGCCACCCAGCTAGCAAAGAGTGGTAAAGACAAGATTTGAAACTGCAATCTAATCTTCATACCAATGTTCTTTCTGCATTCTTACACTCCAAACTGCACCTACAGTGACCCTTCATACATACATTGCCTTTCAAACTTATTTATATCTATATGCTGTAAAATATTGGTAACACACTGTTTAAAACGTAAAATATTTGATTGGCCCATCTCCTCCAAACTACAGAAGGAAAAGAAAAATCATAGGAGAGAAGTTAAAAATGTCAGGCCCTGAAGTTAGCCACCTTGTGTGCCAGGCAAAGAGAATGGGTAATCAGCAGTTGCCCATGGTATCCTCCACAGGGTTTGCAAGGCAACCAACAAGAGTCACTGCCTAAATATTCACTTCTTTTGACTTCTTTTGGGAACCAGCTGGATCCTTGTCAAGCCTGAGTGATCGACCTCAGGTTATTCATTTGCCTTTCCTCAAGGATGCAAGCCCTTCTTGCCTTACCCAGAGACATTAAAGAAAGCTGCTCGGTGCTGGACATCAAATTGATTTCATGCCAAGATTTCATTCAACCACGGGTGACAACCATTGACGTGTCAAAGCCTCACAAGAAAAATAAACATTTCTGATGCGAGGAGTCCTTTGTTTTTGATGCCATGTTGAATTATGCACCTTCTCTCTGATCTGACACTGGCTGTGGCTATTTGCTAGGAGGCAGAGTAGAGGCATGTAGAGTCTCAAATTGAAATGGCGGCAAAGGTCAAAGGACAGTGGATTCAAAGGTGACTGCAAATTTAGAGCTAAGGAATAACCTCTTTTCTTCCTGCACCCTTTATCTTCCTTTTCTCATCCAGCCCTGTGGAACTTTACTCATCATTCTCTGACTTCTGCTTCCGAATACTTGAAGTCACTTATTTGTCTATCTTCCCCAGAGAGCAAGCCTGCTGCTTAAAAAGGGCTTAAAACTGCCTGAAATATTCTTCTCTTCAGTCATGTCTGCTCAAGGTGACATGCATCTTAGGACAAGCATTCTTAGTAGGCAGCGGAGCAGTTTGGGCTTGGCTAAAATTGGGGAATGCCCACCGTCGAGGCCTTTGTGCTATTTTTTCTCTTCCTACCTACCCTAAGGGATGCATAATCACTTCTCTGATGAGTTTCCTAGCTTCTAGTTCCCTGAAATCTTTTCATCCAGCTGTGTTTACTCTTTTTATTTTTTTGTATTCTGTCTGAAGAAGACAGAGAATTTGCATAATTAAGAATGACCTGAGCAATCTCTGCTAATGCCTCCACTAAAACCTCTGACTATCCCTGTTAACTAATTACATCTATCATTGTGTCAGACAGGTAAAAGACTCCTTCAGTCTGTTGAGACAACATTATTCACCTGGGATTATCAAAGGTTTCAATTCTGGCCATTAGCTGAAATGGCTTGGGTCATTCATTATGGCAAATTCTGCATCCTTTCCAGACAGAGCCGAGTAAATGCAGAATCAGGAATAGATTAAATGGCCATGCATCGGAAGCCTAATTCAGAACCTCAGTCCCTTCCTCTCCTTAGAGCTAAAGGATAAAAAAAATGAACAGAAAAATCTCCTGTTTTTCTTGTTTATAAAACATTGAATTTTTATAAGTTTTTCCTTTAAGAAGTTGGAGGTGACTATTTTTCCCCAGTTTCAATCTTTTAACTACCTTATCTAACAAATCAATAAGTAAAAATAAGTCCTTGGATTTGACATTAAATACTAACATGGACTGATGTCCTAACTCCCCATTCTCAGTTTACCTCCATTAACCATGGATTATAGCTAGGGAGCAGAATTACTAAGAATTAGCTAGCTAATTACTAGTGGAATTAGCTAGGGCAGGTAAGAATGGGGCATAGGTAGTCTTCCAGCTAAAATGATCCCATCAAAAATGAATAAAAAGAATAAGGAGAGGTAGATTAAATATTAGACATAAACAATAAGTAGAAGATGGCAATATCTCTGGAGATCCCCAAATATTGGCATCATTGTTATTGGGTGTGGTAGTTGTAACAAGGGCAAGCAGTATATTTAACTCCTTCCATGTATGCCTTCCATTTTCTAGGCCTATGTTTCATCAATCCTTTCTCACAGAAAACTCAGCGTCCTTGTCACAAGTCAATGAGTGTATTTTTATATCGATATGGAGGCCATTATGCACAAAAACTATTATAGGCTTGGTGAAACAATATCAAATAATACACTCAAATCTAAGTGGCTTATGTTCAAATTTAACAAACAAGCATATAAAAATAAAGATAACTAGCAATTAAAGTAAGCTCAGAGTATTGTTTATGAATAGTATGATAGTATGACTTCTTGAAAAAAAGTCACTCTCTAATCATGATGTCCAATTCATCTTTTCTAGACACATTCTCATGGGTAATGCACATGGTACTGTACTCATTAAATGTGTGCTTGCCTTGCAGAAAGAGCAAGCTGAGAGATCATAGACCAAATCATTAAAGAACTCAAAACACTGGTGAGTGGAAACATCTATATAAGTGGCTGAAATCTGTTTCTTCCTTCAGTTTTTGAAAACTGAAATAAAGTCTATTTTTTCTCCTATTGCTCAAACAAGTACCCAATTAGAAGAAGAAAAAAGACAAAAATTTGAAATGAGCTGGA